ATTCTAAAACTTGAGCATCTACAACATTCATTAATTCAATTAAAAAAAATATTTCTGTCCTGGATTTACATGCGTTTGTGTAGTGTACACAGAGGTGACTGCATAATAACTTAAAATGAAGTCTTATGCTTGTATTTTGTGGGGGCTGGGTATAGGTTTGTGGAGGCTGTGGGTGTGTAGGTGTTGAGTGAGAGAGCATGTGGGTGTGTGTGTGGATATGTGGGGTGTGGGTAGGTATGGGGGGAGGGTGGCTGGGGTTTGTGTATGGCAGTGCAAGGGGAGGTGTGGGTGCATGTGTATGGTGCGGTGTGCGTGTGGGACTCACCCTATGAACATACACACACACTATGCCCCTGTGCCTGCAGACACGTGAGTGCATGCACGCAGTCATGCCCCCTCCCCCCATCAACACGGTTCCATCCTCTGCAGTCTGGTGATCTAGCCAGGAGCCACAGCCACATGGTGTCTAAGCAGGGAGGGGGCAGGAAAGCAGGGAACTTCTGGCTAGGGGTGGGAGGGGCTGGGCTGCTCAAGCCCGCAAGCCTGCTGAGGGCTCCCTCTGAGTCCTACTGTCCCTGGCTCCTATCAGCTTTGACAGGGAGTCACGGGCAAATAAATATTAATTTACAACATTTTTTAGGGCTCTGTGGGCCAGACAGAATGGTCTAGTGGGCTGGATCCGGCCCACAGGCTGTATTTTGCCCACCCCTGATTTAGGCTCTAACATAAGTTTATACAGAATCAAAATTCCACTGCCAAGGAAACAGACAATGGCAAAACAGCTAAAATAAATGTGATTTCTATGTCCTTAGTAGCCTTGCAGTATGGGTCATGATTTAAACATGCACGTGGTGGTGGTGATGATTGGAACAGTGACATAGTTTAGAGTAAAAATTCCAATTCCTTTAATAACAGCTAAAGAAACCTGGTTTTCCATGACCCTAGACTAACAAAAACAAATAAATAAATTATTCTCTTTTCTGCCATCCAAATGTGGCATATAGCCTCCAGAGATGTTACGGATTCCAAAGTGCACAAAAAAAGAAAAAAAGTGCTAAATAAAACATTATGTTTCTAACAAAAGACTAATTCAAAAGGTTCCTGTTCAACAGCACAGTTAGTCCAAACATACTTGAACTGGATGGGCAATCAAATAAAATTAAAACATTTTCAGTAAATTCTATCCCACATCATCACTATTAATCTAATTTTCTTAGGAACTACTTTCAAAATATTCAACCAAAGTATGAAAAATGACTAGACCCTTATTATTATATTTCATTCCATCCAGGAAGAGCACACACCAACTGCTGAAACTTCCTTACCTGACGAAGGGTTTTTGAACCCGAAAGCTTGCTTAATAAATATTCTCCAACTATTTGGGTTGGTCTAATAAAAGATATCAAATTCACCCGAGGAACCTTGTCTGCCTAGACCCTTATTATATATTCATAGATGTTAGGGCCAGAAGGGACCTCAGTAGGTCATTGACTCCAACCCCCTGCCCTGGGCAGGAAAGAGCACTGGGGTCAGACGACCCCAGCTAGGTGCTTGTCCAGTCTCCTCTTGAAGACCCCCAAAGTAGGGAAGAGCACCGTCTCCTTGGAAGCCCATTCCAAGCAACCCTTACTGTGAAGAAGTTCTTTCTAATGTTCAACTTAAAACTGCTCTCTGTCAATTTGCGGCCATTGTTCCTAGTTACTCCAGGGGGTGCCCTAGTAAATAGAGCATCTCCCATTCCCTACTGCCTTCCCTTGATGAATTTATAGGCAGCCAAAAGATCACTTCTCAGCCTTCTCTTGCGCAGGCTGAAAAGATGTAGGTCTCTCAGTCTCTCCTCGTAGGACCTTGCCTGCAGGCCTCTGACAATATGAGTGGCCCTTCTCTGAACCCTCTTAAGATTCTCCTCATCCCTCTTGAAGTGCGACACCCAAAACTGGACCCAGTAGTCCAACTGCAGCCTGACCAGTGCCATATACAGGGGAAGCATCACCTCCCTAGACCTAGTTCTCATGCATCTTCTAATGCATGCTAAAGTGCGGTTAGCCTTGTTGATCACTTTGTCACATTGATGACTCATGTTCATCTTGGAGTGAACTATGACTCCAAGATCCCTTTTCGCTGCTGTGAAGGTCACCTCCCACCTGTAAGTGTGTTGGTGGCTCTTTTTACCCAGGTACAGCACTTTGCACTTGTCTTTGTTGAACTGCATCCTATTTCATTCTGCCCATTTTTCCAACCTGTCCAGATCCACCTGGATCTGTTCCTTACCCTCTGCTGTGTTAACTTTGCCCCATAATTTGGTATCATCTGCAAACTTGGACAGGGTGCTCTCCACGCCCTTGTCGAAGTCACTGATGAAGACACTAAATAGCACCAGTCCAAGGACTGAGCCTTGCGAGACTCCATTGCCCACATCTTTCCAGGTCGATATCGACCCGTCCACCACCACTCTCTGGGTGTGACCCCTAAGCCAATCTGCCATCCACCTGACAGTGTAATCATCTACATCACAGCCAGTCAATTTATTTACGAGAACAGAATGAGATAGTGTATCAAAGGCCTTCTCAAAGTCTGGGTAGATAACATCTACCTTGACTCCTGCATCTAAGCATTTTGTGACCTGGTCATAAAAAGAAACAAGGTTAGTCAGGCAGGATCTACCTGCAATGAATCCATGCTGATTTCCTTTCAGCATTATTTCCCTTGCTGGGCTCCCATACATGTGATCCTTAATGATTTTTTCCAGAGTTTTCCCAAGGATAGAGGTGAGACTGACTGGCCTATAGTTTCCCAGTTCCTCCCTCCTCCCCTTCTTGAAAATAGGGACCACATTGGCCCTTTTCCAGTTCCTTTTCCAGCGGCTCTGCTATGACACTGGCCAAATCCTTCAGCACCCTTGGATGAAGTTCATCTGGGCCCGCTGACTTGAACACAACGAACCCCTCCAAGTGCCCCTTAACTAAGTCTACACTAACAGTTGGTGGTCTGGTGTCCCTCCTGTGTCCATCTATGATCCAACTGGGAGATTTGTCTTGGTCTGCGTCTAGGAATACAGATACAAAGAACTTATTGAAGAGCTCAGCTTTGTCCCCCGTCTCTGTCACCAATTACCTACTTTGTCCTGTAGGGGTCCTATGCTCCCCTGTGCCTTCCTTTTGTTCCCTATATACCTGAAGACGGACTTTTTGTTGTGCTTAATTTTTGTTGCCAGCCTAAGTTCTAATCCTGCTTTGGCCTTCCTAACTGATTCCCTGCAAGTGAGTCACGGAGGTATACTCCTCGTTGGTAGTTACCCCGTTTCCACAGCCTGTATACCACTTTCTTTGCCCTTAGGCTTTCCTGGAAGAAAGGTAGGATGTCACCAGATTCAATGGTTTATATCTGCTGGATGGGAAGAACTATAGCCCAAGTATTGGGATTCATGGAAACATGGACAAAAAAGAGAAGTGCCATATTACTTGAATATAAGACAAGTCCCCCCTCCCCACCATCAGCATGGGGGAAGAAAAAAACCCTAGTCTTATATTCATATAAAAACAGAATGGGGCGGGCAGGCAGCTGCTATGACTCTTACTCCTTCCCCTGCCTTACCAATCAGCAGCGCTGACACTGCTGTATGGCCAGGCAAAGACTGAGTTTCCATGTGCTGTGCTCTGGGGGCACTTACACAAGTTACATTTTTCACTTGATTGGCCCCCAGAAAGCGCTTTAAGGCTGTGATGTAACACATGATCATGGCTGCAGAGCGCTTTTAAAATGGCTGATCACATGAAAAATTAATAGTCAAATCAGGTATTAGATGAAGGTGCTCTAAAACAGAGTGTCTTAAGGAACTTGTATTCCCTCAAGGGTTAATTATCTGTACTTTGCAGGTCTGGACTGCTGCTTGTGCTGACAAACATCAGCCCAGCTCAGCCCACCCCCTCCCCACCCAGTATGTCAAGCTGGACCAAGCGCCCCCTCCCCTCCCCTCCCCTCCCCCCCCCTCGCCAGCTGCCCCAGCTGGGGTATTGGGGGTAGTCAGGCCAGGCCCACAAGATGAGGGGACCCCATTCCACCCTGCCCCATCCTCCCCAGCTCTGGCTAGGCAAAGCCCAGCCAGCAGCTGCCTGCTGCTCCCTCCCGCTCTCTGTCCTGCTGACAGTGCCAGAGCTGGGGGAGGGGGGTAGGAGTTGGGATGAGAAAAGGGGCAGTTCTCTGGAGCACCCCCACCTGCTGGATAGGGCTGGTGCAGGCAGGCTCAAGCCCACCTAAAAAAAACAGACGAGAAAGTCTGTTGGGTTGGGGGGGGTGGGGAGAGGGCTCTAGCTCATGGCACTTTGTGTAAAGTGCCATAAGTTAGAGTGGGGCCCCTAAATGTCTGTAGGAACCCTGGGTCAGAGCAGCATCTGACAGTAAATGGTGTGGGGCCGCGGGAAGAGGCAGAGACTCAGGGAAGTTTGGAAGGGATGAAGCAAAGACTGGAAGGAGTGGGGGGAGGGGGTATAGGTGTCAGGGCGGCAAGAAGGCTGCAGGTGGAAGAACTGGTCAGGGCAGAGGGCAATGGGCAACCTGATCCCCTCCCTCCCCCACCACTGGCTTCCGTGCTGTAGCAATGGGAACAAAGGGAAATTCAAGACAATCCCTCTAACGCTTAGGTTCTATACTTGGAAAATTATAACAAATTTATATATTTTCCATATACAGAACCTAATTATTGGAGATCATTTTATATACAGGGTCATCTTACATTGGAGTAAATACAGTATTAAAATACAATATGAACTTTCTTTTTCTGAAGACTTGTACAGATTGCATGCACAAATGTATAAATCTTAATAGTATTTGCATTACATTTTAGTTTGACCTAACACATCTGCTCTGCCTAAAGATTTCAAAAGCACTTATGAATTTCTAGAAGACCTTTATTATAGTACCTTGGTACCAATAAACTTTCTGACTGCTGCAGACCTTCTGTAAAATATTCAAACTCTCTCACAAAACAACAAAACACTTACCTCCCCAAAGGCTCCTCGGCCAATCACCTTCAAGATTTCAAAATCTTCTTTATGTAGTCGCATCTGTTTCACCTTAGATGTAAAAGGTTTGGCTGAAACAAAGGAAAATATCAATCATTATAAAAGCTAGGTAAGAGTAACATAAAATATAAAGCTGAATGGCCCTGAAAATAACAGACCCTTTTGCTCATATACCTATAATCCCTAAAGTAATATTACAAAGAATAAAGCTGGAATGAATGACTAATAAGAACTAAGCCCAAACTTTCAGTTTTCTGTGAAAGGAAATGTATGGAGCACACGTTTTTACAAATAGAATCAAGCTGCCTATATTTTTATATATTTCTTATAAATTCATACAATGATTTTCAATACAGGAGGTATTCTAAGCATTATGGACTGCTATCACAGATTATAAAAGTAGAGCATGGGAAAATGAATGTCTTATTCTGAACTGAGAAATGCTAATTCTACACAAGTCTCAAAATAAATGATCAATATTTCACTCCAAGGAAAATCAAAGTGCTGATGAAAAAGTGCTGAACTGATAGCA